AAATAAATTTCAATCATTATATTTTTTAAGTTTCGGATTATAGTTTGAGGTTTCGGATTATAGTTTCGGGGTTTCGGATTTCGGGGTTTCGGTTTTTTTTTAAAAAATCCGAAACTAGTTTCGGATTAGAGCTTTCTGAAACTAGTTTCGGGTAGGTTTCGTTTCGAGTACCAACTCTAGCCTCAGCATTATTCGTTTCATCGTATCCTTTTCAACTTCCATAACAATACTTAACGTTGATATTTTCGTTCCGTAACAATATTGTTTAATCAGCGTTACTTTGCTGATTTGTATAATGAATTTGAAATAATGCTCTTTGGTTTTGTTACCAAAAATACTGCGTTGGTCAAATAAATCGACGTACTTGAATTTTATATGTAAATTTTTAAAGATAGATTTTATTTTTAATTTATTTTTTTAATACTTAAAAATTCTTGTCGCGGCTGATGCTGAACTCTGGATCTATTTGGATATGAAATTTTAAAATTTTTTCGAAATTAGAATTGATAGAGCATATGTGGATTTTATATTTTCAAATCGAGACCCTCAAATTTCAGCATCAGCACCATGCCGCTACAATTCATTATATAAAGTTAAAAGAAAGTTAAAAATAATCTTGATCCTAAGGTCGAATGATTCTTTACTATAAGCATTAAATCCAAAAACTAAACCAATATAAAGCATTATTATAGCATGTTTTTTTAAAAAAAATGGTTTATTGTAGATAGCTTACAAAACATCTACAGCTAATTTTTGAACTTTATTTATGGTTTGCTCAAAATAATAATAAGAACGAATATGGCAATAACCAATCAAGTTGAGGTGTATAAATTAATGCTTAATACAGTAATTTACTATGGTACTATAGTTAAAGATGCCGATGAAATTAATTTCACCAGTTTACCCAATAATGATGAAATTATTTTACCACACATATTTAGTGTAATCATCAATAAAGTTACAAATATTAATTTTAATTTCAGGAACAGCATATACTTCTTTTTCAACAAAATAATTTGTTTGGTTACGCCATATATCTATGCCCTTATAGATCATATCTTTAGCATCCTTGAATGAAATAAGGTCTTTTCCTGAATTTATATTTTCATTGACTTTTTGCAAAAGGTCAAAAACTTCAAATGGTTGAAAATATTCTATTTCTTCTTGTTTTGAACAGCGAGAAATAGATTGCCTTGATATACACCGCTGTAAAGACATGCCATAAGATCTATATGAGAAATATCTTTCATTTTTTGGTTTCTTGATGTATTCATCAGACAAGATTTCATTATCATGAGTTTCTTTCAAAAATTGATTCACAGCAATGTCAACAGGAGTGTGTCCTGAAGTGTTCTCACAGCAAAGATAATTAAGAGCCTTTGACTTTTCCCCTGATTTTTTCTCATGATCTTCCAACGATAGCAAGATTTTTGTAATTCCGAGAGAACTCTCCTTAACGGAAAGATGTAAATAATTGTTGTGAGCAAAGTCAACAATAGATGTATTGGTTGTTCTCTCAAGTAAAAATTGAAATGTATCTTTTCGTCCTTCAAGGATAGCAATTGAAATTGGTGTGTGTTTGTAATCAATAGTTTGTGTTTCAAGCATTTCTTGAGTTATATTACGATCCAATTTATCAAAAAGAAATCGTAACATTTTCAAATTACCATGATACCTGTAAATTTAATAAATTACAAAATATGTATAAGTTAAAAAAAAAACATGTATTAATCATCAAAAAATATTACTTACGCAGCATGATGCAATGCGGTCCATGCAAAATCATCGGGAATAGAAGGATCAGCTCCAATTTCTAACAATGCTTCTGCGCATTCAAACTTATCTTCAATAACGGCAAGAAGAAATGGTGTTACATAACGATCAAAACTTTCTTGATTGATTATTTGTTCAAGAGGTTCATCATTATCTTTTTTAAAACTTTGATATATATTTGCTAATTCTTTAATTGACTCTGGTTTGTTCATTTTAACGGCCCAATGAAATGGGGTATCTGCTTTGGGTAAATAAAACCAAAATAAAACTCGACCAACTTTAAGGATTTCTTCGTTTGTCAACAATATATTTTTAATATTAGAATTTTTACAATGCAATGAAGAGAATCTCTGTAATGCTTCAATTGGTCGTAAGCTTAAGAAATATTCGATGATTTTTGTAGCACCATAATAAGCTGCAAAGTGAAGAAAGGATGGATCGACTGCTTGCTGAAGAATATAAGGATCATGTCGAGAAATCCATGATCTCTTTTTTCTGCCATTAATATTTAATCCAATATAAGTCCTAGCAAATAAAATTTTTATTAGTTTATACCTTTAAAAAATTTTTGAACGTATAAAAAAAAAACAAACATACATTGGTTTAATTTTTTTTATAAGGGCTTCAATTTCTTCATCTCGCTCGATATTAAACATTCCAAATGAGTTTCCACCAGCTCCAAATCTAATAGTCAAAAGAGTTTAAAACTGCTATTCTGCTATTATTTTCAAAATCATTTTCAAAATCATTAAATTTACTTACTCTATTAGCAAATCGACTACATCAACGTTATCAATAAATATAGCGCATTGCATAAGATTATTATAATTAAAAGTGGTCAAAGGTGCATATGTATTTGTATTTCTTATTAATTGCATAACCAAGTCTGTAATGTCTTCTTTATCATCTATAAATTATGAATGGGTTAGAAAAAAAATTTACTATGTTGAATCTAATTTTTCATGTTTGTAGAAATTAAGCAATAAAAAATAAACATTACCTTTTACTTTTTGATAAGTTTTAGCCCATATCAATACTTCTTTGATAACTTTGACGTGATTCATGAATACTGCCAATGCAAGTCCATTAAATGCTCCTTGAAAAAATGGTTTTTTACAATTCATTTGCAAAAGTTCATATTTTTCGGATAAATTGTAGGTTGAGTGTTGTAATAATTGTAATGCAGTAATTTCAATATGAACTGCTGGTTTCGAATCTTGCACTTCATCAATAACAGGTTCTGCTGGTACCTCAGGTCCATCTTCATCTTCGGAATCATAATAATCCGAATCGGCTTCTGATAAAAAGAAAACATATACATATATAAATATTATTATGAAAAAATAATGAGAACAAAAATTATATAGACACGATGAAAAATAACCTAAAATGTCATAATTGCTAATAAAGCGTTTTTTCTCATTAGGATCTTGGTCATTTGAGTCCTTTGGTAGATATTGTCGTTCAGCTATTTTTAAAATTTGAATCGCCAGATTTTCATAACCTTTATAACATGCCAACATAAATGGTGTCATGCCAGTTTTATCTTGAACAGCAATGATAAGATCTGCACTTAGTGACTCAACAAGCTCAGTATTATTATCCCATAGAGCTTGATAAAGATTTGTGTACTGTTCATAAAGGAATTCTGGTACAACGTGCCAATTTAGATATTTAAAAGAAATAATATTTTTATAGATATCATCAGAAGTTGGGTTCTTTGTATCCTTTATTAGATCTTTTGATGATTCATTCAAAATATTAATTATTTGTTGACTTGATGGTAATCTTTGTGCAAAGAATTTATTTTGATGCTCAACAATTTGGTTCAATATTTCAATCTGTGTTTCTAATATAGCCTTCATCAACTGCATGTTGGTTTCTGTTGTTTTTTGTAGTTTATGTGTATTCATCAATTCTAAATGTTTTCGCTTCTTAGCAAGTAAATCTTCTTTTGTTTTTAATTCTTCCAATTTGCCCAAAATAGCATGTTGATTTACTTCAAATTCGAGACTTATTTGTGCACCACGTTCATATAAATATACAAAGCATTTATCGAGTTGTCGTAATTTTTCCAATAATTCTCGATTTTTCGTTTCTTTTTCATCAATTTTATCACAAATCGAATTTAAAGCCGTTAATTTAAAAATAGAATCATTCATTTGCGATTCATCTATTCTTGAAAGTAAAAATCCAACATATGAATCGACAGGATGTTCCTTAAGTTCAGAAGAAACTATTGATTTAATATTTGTAGCCTGAAGTTGTCTTTCAATAGCATCAGAAATCATATAGTCAGGTAAATTCTTAACATTGTCATTAATAAGTACAAGCACTCGATCCAACAAAGTCTCTTTTGAGTTATCCAAAGAATTTACGTGAACACCAGCTTCAATCAATAAGCGTAAAAGGCCATTTTCAAGAGATAATAGTACTGGTTGTTCTATATCTTCGTACTTGTAACGTAATTTTTGATATTTGATAAATTCATTAAAATCTTCCAAGGTTATGGATGCCTATTTATTTATAAAGCAGAAAGCAATTGAGTGAATTATTCAAATCAATACTGTATATAAAAATTGAAATATATATGTGTGCATGTGTCATAGAATCTAGTTGTTACGCATTTCGACAAATTGATACTTACATGAGCACCGTGTTTCAATAGCAGTTCCAACATTTCTCGATTTCCATTTTTCACGGCAATTGTTACTGGAGATTGTCGACGATAATTAAGAAAATTAAGTATTCTAGTCGCTTTTGGATCTATGTCCAAAAGTAATTTTACAAAGTCAAATTTTCCTAAAAAACGAATAGAAAGATTATTTCCATTCAAATAATAATAAAATCTCATCATTGTATTAAACAAAACTATACCAGCATCTACAGCAAAATGTATTATAGTGTTATAGTAAGAATCGAGCTAAAATCAAAAAAAAAAATACCGAACGATAGTTAATTAATCAATATTCAATACAATGCAATCCATTAAAGAGCCATCATAGCCATACCTGAGAAGAATGTGCACCATTCTTTATCAAAATTGATGCAATTTCGAGACCTTTCTGTGCATTCCTGTAATTAAAAGAATGTGTTATATTTCAAGATGAAAGACGAGTCAGAGATACAATAAATATTATAGTAATGCAACACAATTTAATCTTACCTAGTTAAAAGGCAAAGACATAATGGATAATAAATCCTAATGATTTGTCCGTGATACGAATTTGTAGTCTTGATTATTATACGTCGACGAACATTAGCTCCGGCTTGAATTAAGCGGTTTACAACATCAACATGCCCAAATATGATTGCATATTCGAGAGCAGAAAAAGAATGGTTCCAAGACTCAAGATTTATATCAATTATATCATAGTTTGTTTCATCATCATCATCATCTACTTTTTCTTGTTCATCTCCAACATTTTGCATAGCATCATCCAATTCATTTGGATCGATAATATCAAGAGAATCATCAGATTCATTATCATCATTTTCAGCATCATTTCCGACCGAAGACTCTTTAATAATTTCATCTTGTTC